GTGCATTATTTGTGTTCTTGTTTCCTATTATATGTTTCATAAAACATTTTTTTTCTTAAAGTTACTACGACTTTAAGGATTACATTTCCATCACATGTTTTTGTTTGCTGATGATTGCGATATTAAGTGGATTTAAATGTATATTTTTGGTCTTGATGATTAAAATTGTGAAGTTATTTTTAATTATACTAACTCGCTTAGCAGAAACATGATTTGCAGAAGCAGCTAAAATATTCTTAAAGTATTAGTATCAAGTTTTGTGTGCAGTGTAGACCGGAGCGTAATGGCTAACTTTTCACTCTTTGTTGATTTACTCGGACATTTTTGTTTTAATTAAGTGTTTATCTCCTAAAAAAGTTACTTTGGTATCTCAGCTTTCTTTTAAAAAACGAACGTCCCTATATTACTCCCCACACGGAGAGATCCACATTTGTAAAAATTACTAAAAATGGTTGCAATGACCGGAAATAAGGGGACTTTTAGCATAATATACTACAGAATTAGATAAATTTACAAAAGAAATAGATAAATTTGCTACATTGAAATAGCAAGTTTTAATATTTTGTGTAAGAGTTGTAAATGTAGCGGAAATTGATTATAGTTTTCTCTAATTTAATTAGACAAAATCTGACAAATGAAAACATTTTCCTCTAAAACCTACTATCCACTGTAGTAATTTTTGGTGAGCAAGTGTGGCTAGCGAGTGCAGTCATATGGCGCCTGCATTTCTATTGGTTGCTAACTTCGTCAATCTCCGTAAATGAGCCGATGCCATCCGATCATTGACAGTGACTATGTTTCGCGTATGTAAAATAAATTTGGATATTATTTACAATAATTAAATATAAAGTGAAACGTAGGTCGTTCGTTATCTCGGAAATTGACCATTATAAATTAATAAATTTTGCATTTATTCCTGTCCCAAGAACTATGTCTTATAATGAGTTGTTAAAAGTAAACTGCTTTCTCGTAAGTGCTGTAAATTTTCATCATTCAATATATAAGGAAACAAATATGTATACTTTCAGTGAAATTCGTTGTCGTGCGTGCAGTTGTGTATTAGTGTATTAATTAACCGCGTCTATACATATAAGTAAAATAAACATGTGTGTGTCTTTAAATATTTATCCAACAAATATATAAGTGTGTGTGTGTGTGTCTGTGTATGTAAAAATCCTTCCAGTTTACCTCCATTAGTCAAGAATTGACGGGAAATCGGCGACAAAAATCCGTATTTTTTCTTTCACTCTTTCTTTCTGCATTTACAAACGACTATAGTAATTTTACGTACACAATACTTCTGAGTTTACTACAGTTGTTTGGAACTATTAGACGAAATAGTAAGAAACTTTGCTAATTTGGTGAAAATTTGTCGGATTAGTGAATTAGTGTAGAAAATAGTAAAAAGTACAAAAAGTCCCCTTATTTCCGGTGGTTGCAATGTGAAAATAGTAAATTCTAGTGTGATTTTATACAAAAATTAGTAATCTCGGTCTCTCCGTGCAGTAAATAAAACTAATTTAAACGGATTGAAATGAATTAAGATTTTTGGGAGAAAGCAGGATTCATTCAAGCTTTTTGTATATTCGACTGAATTCGATTCAATTTGCCTGAATTTATGCAAACGAATTCGCATTCGAAAGAAATGACCAAGGCATGCATTGAATTCGTGCTAACGAATTAAAAAAAATTAAAGGCCCCAAATGTTGTCCATTGAATTAGTAAGAATAGAAGATTTGGGATTTCAATACAGTTTGCACAGAAAAAAACTCGACTCACTTTTGTTGCAACGCATTTGGAAGTCGGTCTCGAAATGAGTAATCGACAACTTCAAGTGACTCGAAATGAGAAATCGGCAACTTCAAGTGACTCAAAATGAGTAAAATGACATATGGTTGCCCATCCCTGTCAGTCAATTCACAAATGTCTAACCTAAAAATTCTTTTTTCATTTCTCATAAATGCGATAAATCGACTTCAAGTATTAATGTTTTGACAAGTGCAAAGTGTTTATTCATTATAAACAATTATTTTAATTCATATTTTTATAAATTATTCCAATGTTATTGTAATTTTATCATAAACCCAAAATGATACCGCTTTTTACTCATTTTGAGTCTTTTACCCAGAATTTCAGAATGAGTCGAAGGGGTATCATTTTTGTTGCACTTCAAAATGAGTATCATACTCATTTTGAGTATCAAATGAGTATCATCACTCATTTTGAGTATAGTTTCTTTCTGTGTGACGAATTCAGGGAAATTGCAACATAGCTCTAAATCGTATATGTCACAAAGTGGGATTCACTGAAGTTTTTTGTGAAGTCTTTTTAATTTATTTCAATAAGTTTTTGTTTACTGGGTCTTACTTTTTTCTACAACGAACGTACACTTCGTAGTAGGTGTCGTAGGTTTCTTTTTATGCACAGCCTGTTGCATTAGCCAACACGCCCTAGGGGTACTTGGGAAATATTTTGTAATTTTTATCAATACAGTAAGTGTGAATCAAAAATCTCGAATTGACCCTCAAAAAATGTTTCAAGCTTAAAACGCGATTTTAGTTTCTTTTTTAAAATTATTTTAAAAAAATTAGAACGAATAAATGAAAATTTTGAAAAGTTACTTTCATATATAAAATACAGTTTTTCTACTATATTTCTTACAATAGTGATTGAATAATAAATAATCAAACTTTGTAGAAACTTGCAGTACATCAAGTTGTCTTTGGAGCGAAATCATTTCGATTTACGATTTTTAAATAAATTACAATTATTCATTACGCCCCTTAGCCATTATGTCCCATTACGCCTATATACGTGATTTGTAAATATAATATCAAAAGTATAATTAAAAACATGTAAATCCGGATACAGTGGATGAGATAGTTTAATTTTTATAAGAAAAACATTAAATTTACTGAAGATTTAAAAATGAACAATTAGATAAATTTCCTGCATGATTTTTTTTAAAGAACGTCCAAGTACCTAAACTTTCGGAAGGGCCTTCCGGCAGGACGCGCCTCTGCACATTACGGCGTCTTGTCGGCAGTACGGAAACCGTGCTTCAGAAAGGACGAAATTTATTTTTGTAAAGAAATAAAGAAATATATATTATTTCATACATAATTTATTCAATATATTAAAAATATTGTTAAATATTGTTATTATATGTTATTTTGAGCTTAAACAAGAAATTCACTTAGAGATTTTGAAAAAATCGCTATTTTTAATGCTACACAAATATTTGAATAACTTATAAAATAATAAACGTTTTCTAATGCTTATCTTCTTATTTTAAAGGTCATTTTCAACAGTAAGAGAATTACTTCAGGTATTCACGTGTATTCTTTGCTTAGAAATTGTAAGCAAAGCAAAGGTAGGATACCCAAATTAGATCAAAATAATAAAAATTAGCACACCATTTCAAAAATATTTTTGAACTAAGAAAACAAAAACAATTTTATTTGAAAATAAAATTTTTTAATTCTAGATAAACCGTTTGTCTGAACCAGCCCAAAAACTTAAAAAAAAAAATTTATAACTTTTTTGTTTTTTGTTATACAAAAAAGTGTCTTAAAGAAAAGTTGTTTGTTTTTGCTCAAAATTTAAGGAAAAAATTAGAAAAAAAAAATTATTTTGAAAATTGTAAAAAATAAAAAATTTTGAAAATTTCAAAGTTTTGTATTTTTGTAGTTTTTTGTTGAAAATCCCCAGAAAATTCATTTTTTTCATCATTTTTTAATTGTTGAAAATTCCACCTGTCACCTCATGGTCGCCTAATCTCGAAACCAAATCTTTCCTTTTTCCTGTTTCCCATATTTAATTGTGTATCTTATGTTTTGTGCATGAATATTATTGATCTTGACATTATTGTAAACATTCTTGTATTGTGTTTTTCTGACAAATGTGACAAATTTTCTTTGTGACGGACGCAGACAAGACAAAATTTCTGTGAAAAAGTGCGCGTTAAGACCGGTAAAAACTAATCGTGAAAAATTCCTTGAAATCTTGACTAAATTCGTGAAAATTAACGAAAATTAGTGAAAATTATTGAAGAAACGGAAAATAAAGTCGAGAGTTAAAAAGAAAAAGTGAATTTATCGATTGTTTTTAAGAGAAAAGTTGGTCGTTGAAAGACGCCGGTTTGTTTTGTTTTCGTGGTCAAGGTAGTGTGTAACATTGAACAAAATAGTAAACACGAAAATTTTCGCGATTAATTCGGAAATAATTTTGTCAACTTAGAAATAAAATTAATATACCGGTTGACAAATAAAATTGAATGAAATAAGTTGAAAAAATAAAATTTTTAGAAAATCAAGACTTATACCGGGTGTCTCTAAAGTTTAAACTTAGAATAACAACTTGCGAAAGGGGGTGTAAGGGGTAACACTTCGTTCCGTTCAGGGGAAGGGGGGTGTAACACGGTGTTACAAATTCTCCCGCGTCTGTCGCGAATGAGGCGATTGAACCCGGAAGCGGCCGAAGGGCCTCGAGGGTGTCAATCGCCGAATTCGCGAGCAGACGCGACACTTGTTACTGCGACTCGTACTTGACACCTGTGTCGTGATATTCTGTTCGTCTTTCTTTTCGATCTAGTGGTGACTTGTAATCAAATTCAACGGATATTTTGAGTAAGTCAAATAAATATTATATTGTAATATTTCTTTGTTTCTCTTTTCCTTTCCCTCCTTTTCCCCTTATAATTGGAAATTCGGGCCACCAATTATAAAGTGTTTGAAAACTTAAATTGTTTATAACAATAACATAAATTTTTTTTTGGTAAATTCTTTGATATAGTGATTTTTTATATAAAGCACTATAGAAAAAACAACATTTTAGCCAAAAATAAATTTTTTGAATTTTAGGTGGCACGTTTTAAAAATTCTTACTCAGGTTCTAAATTTCGACTTAAGGTACTAAATAATTTTTATTACTCAAAAACTTTACATTAAAATATATTGTTCTTTAGTTAGCAAATATGAAATGTCTTGATGTTTAACATTTTATTTTTCACTGGAGTAATCTTTGGAAAGATTGCACCCTCTGTAGAGTACAGAACAATCTTCACCGCGAAGGCCTGCTGCTCCAGCATCTTCTACAAGACGATTCCATCCTGAAGATTCATCCAAAGTTTCTTTGATACTGCGCCTGCAACCATGTACTTTACGTTAAAAATAAAGTAATAAACAAAGTTGCAAAACTTAAAATAAGCTTCTATATTCTTAAGTACTATAGTATCAGGTAATATGTTCACGGGTTGTTTTGAAAATTTTTGAATTATTTATAATATTTTTTGCTATTTAGAAAATTTTAAAACTTTTTATTAAAATTATTTATAAAATTAAGTTTCCGCACAAATCAAACAAAACTTTGTGAATATAACAGTGAGTTAAAGTACTATTAAGTGATTTAATGAAAATTTAAAACAATTTAAAATAAATTAAAAATAATTAAAAATTTAAAACAACGGGTTTAAAAATAGTCCTCAGCCAAAAATTTTAATAGATTTTAAAATTTCATTTTTCACATTTACGAATAAATTTTAAAGAGATCTCTTGAGGTCTATTTAAAATTTTTGTAAACTGTTGTTATAATAAAAAGAAATAGTATTTTCTTTTAGTTTTTGAAGTGTAAGGTTTGGTAAATAGGGGAGACTAGCTGCGGTTATTACGCTGTGCAGTTGTTACAAATGGAATATCTCAGAAACAGTCAGTTATAGAGATGGGGATCAAAAGAGAAAAATGTTTAGTTTTTATGTACGAACTTACTGCAATATGTTTAAAAAGTATATGCAAGTTTTATAAGTAAAAAATAGGCAAATTAGTTTTTAGAGGGATTTTTTAAAAACAGGTGTTAGTTTATAACAACTTTATTCATTGAAACCTAATATTAAGATTACGCCAATTCTTTAAATTATGAAGCAGTGACTTCGAATAACTTTGTAGGTAAGTTTAAATCTAATCTAATTTTTTACGTAACTTTTCAACTTATTCCCTACACATAAAGATTACATTTATACTTGAGGTAAATTTTTTCCTTAATTTTCAACCCTCAACTATAAAAGTAGGTCACTTTTGACCTACATTTTGACACATGAGTAAGAATTTTGAAACGTGCCACCTAAAATTAAAAAAATTTATTTTTCGCCAAAATGTTGTTTTTTCTATAGTGTTTTATATAAAAAAAACAGTATATCAAAGGATTTGCCAAAAAAATTTTTTTTTTATTATTATAAACAATTAAAGTTTTTAGACACTTTTTTAAAAAAAATTAATTAAAAAGAAACTTGTTAACTGATTTTAATGATCCAAGAGGCAATCTTTTTTATTTGAGTCAAAGTTTTGAATAAAATTTTTTTCGTAAAAAAATATTGAAATTTAATAAATAAACAAATTATTTATTTATAACAAATTAGCAAAAAACCATGTTCGCAATCGAATTTTAAAATGAAAAAAATAGTACTTATTCTTTGATTACCATTGAGTAATATTACGTTGAGAAAAAAATGGCACGGCTTGAACTGTTAAGCAGAGTTTTGGGTGATAAAACGAATAATTAACGAGTAAGATTTAAAAGAGTTGAATATATTTAATAAAGACGATTCTAGATACACAAAGATAGGTACTATACGTAGTGAGGTTAACACATTACTGAAAAAGTATTTAATATGTCCGTAGAAGGAAGTGTGTCGCTTTAAGAACATAAAAGATTACGTACATCCGTATTTGAGTGTAGAAATGGCGCGATAGTTTGAACAACTTTGACACACCGCCTCAAGTTAAGCGATATTTGAATCTAAAATAAATTTCATTCCCATTTTACTAATACACATTTGATGCTTGTCTTTAGACAAACCCTTTGTAAGAACGTCGGTAGGCATTTTGTCCGTCTGAATATAAGTGATATCAACGAGTTGATTTCGAAGAGCTTCCCTGACGAAATGATGCTTCACGTCGATATGTTCACTTCGAGAATGGAATGTGTGATTTTTGGCAAGTTGTTGTGCCCCTTGATTATCATTCCCGTTTGTTATTTTCCTGGCGTCATTGAATCCGAGATTAGAAAGAAATTTTCGGAGATAAATGGCTTCTTTGACGGCCTCAGTTAAACCCATATATTCCGATTCGGGCGAAGACAATGCTACAGTACGCTGCTTTCGTGACTCCCATGTCACAGCTCCATTACTCAGTGTAAAAACGAATCCTGTGAAAGATCTACGATCAATTGGACACCCCGCCCAATCTGCATCCACGAAACCCTCGATGAAAGACGAAGTCTTAGTATAAACAATACCCAAATCGATTGTACCTTTTAGGTAACGCAGAACTCTTTTAGCGGCTGTCCAATGTTGCTCTTCATGGAGTCGTTGAATTGACTTAAGCAGCTGGTGAGATATATCAGGTCTCGATACAACGGCCAAGTAATTGAGAGCTCCGATCGATTCGCGGTAAGGTCTCTTATTATGATTATTTTCTCCATTGATGCAATTTTTCTCGAACTTCGTTCCTCCGACTATTGGAATTGATACAGATTTTGCTTCTTGCATATTGAATTTATTTAAAATGCTCCTGATGTATGTGGACTGCGAGATGCTTATCGAGTTCTTCCCTCTCGATACTTCAAAACCCAATCAATGTTTAATTTCGCCTAAATTCCTTACTTCCAATTTTTTAGAAAGACCTGAAACAATATAATTTAAATAAGTCTCTTTTCGAAAGGCGACAAGAATGTTATCTACGTATACCAGAACTATTAAAATATCTCCATCAGATTGAAGATGATATACGCAAGGATCTGCTTCGTTGGATTTCAAGTGCAAATTTTTCAATATTTCATCGAGTCGCTTGTTCCACTAATGTCTGGCTTGTTTCAATCCATAGATAGATCTTTGAAGCTTACAAACCTTGTTGTCTGAGTTGAGTTCCTTTAACATGTTAACTGCTCGATTTCCAATCGAACTACGAGCTCCATGACATTGAGCGATTTTCTCGAGTGAATCTTTCAGTAATTTCGGTTTCTCCATAAAGATTTCTTCATCTATTGTCCCGTTAAATTAAGCCGCAGTTATGTCTAATTGTTGAATTAATAGATCGTATTTCACGGCGAGGGCAAGCAATAGACGTATCGAACTAAGGCGAGCAACAGGGGTAAAGGTATTATTGTAGTCAACTCCAGGCCTTTGACTGAATCCCTGAGCTACAACTCTTGCTTTCCTCTTTTCTATTTCTCCCTTCGCATTATATTTATTTCGGAGTACGGTTCTGCTGTCAATAATATTCTTTTCATTAGGACGATCGACTATTGTCCAAGTATCCTTCTTGATAAGGACCTCTATTTCGTCTGTGACTGCTTCTTTCCATTCACTGGCATCAGTTCCTTCCATCGCCTGTTTCCAAGATACTTCGGCTAAGCTGGAGTGCTCTACATCGGCTTCTTGTTCGTTTCGTGGTTGATCGAATTCTGAATTGTTGTCGTCATTTTCCAAGTCAGGTTCATTGGTTTCGTCGGTTTCTACAGCGTCATCACTCTCATGTATGTCTTGGTTGTTGTGGAAGATCTTTCTAGGACGTCCCCGACGACCAGTTCGCATAATTCGCGGTCTTCCACGACCCCTTAGTCCTTGTTGTATTTCCAAGCCCAAGTTGTCGTTATTTCCTACAACGATCAGATCCTCTTTTTCAATCTCAAATTCCACATGTGGTTGATAAAACTCTGTAGATTCGTGAATTTTTGGATGGCTATGAAGTTTCTCGGACAATTCTGAAGGATTTTCAAATTTTGTTTCATCGTTGATGTTGATATTTGAATACGTTGAGTCAAGATTATGAAATTTTACGTCTCGAGAAATTATGACCTTCTGTTGACTCGGTACCCTTTACTACTCATACTCGATATCCCTTTGAAGATTCGTCATATTCTACAAGATAACATTCAATTCCTCGATCGTCAAATTTTCCTTTCTTTGGGTCTTTATTTAGATCGTAAGCCTTTTCTCCAAAGATACGAAAATGCTTTACGTTTGCACGTTCCCCGTACCAGAGCTGAAATGGAGTAATGTCGCCGAGTGTGCTGTTGACGCACCGATTTCTCACATAGTTTGACGTTGACACTGCTTCCGCCCAAAGTGAAGAAGGAAGTTTAGACTGGATTAGAAGGCACCGCGCTGTTTCGATGAGAGTGTGATTCTTCCTCTCGGAAACGCCATTCTGTTGTGGCGTATGAGGTAGGGTTAGTCGATGTAAAATTCCTTCCTTTTTGAGAAAATTGTCGAAATCGGTGTTACAAAATTCACCCCCATTATCAGACTGGATACATTTAATTTTTTTGCCAGTTTGCTTTTCCACGAGAGCCTTATATTCCTTGAATACCTGAAAAACATCATTTTTGCTACGTAAAAAGCGAACTTCTGTCCATCTAGAAAAATAGTCAGTAAGTGTAACAAAATACTTAGCTTTTCCCTTGGACTCCACCTTGAATGGTCCACAAACAGTGTGTACAATGTTCAGCAGTTCACCACTTCGATGAAATTTTTGTGGAAAAGGCAGTGCGGTTAGTTTCGCTTCCGAGCAGGTTGCACATGGTTTAATATCCTTGTCATATCCCAATTCTAGTCCGATAATAATTTCCTTCCTTCCCATTTTCAAAAGGTCGTTTTAGTTGACGTGTCCCATTCTCTCGTGCCAGATGGTCAGTTGCGACTTCATAACGTTTGATGAATTTGAACATATATTTTCTTCTTGAACTTCACGAAGAAAATATAGATTTCCTACTCTGTCAGCCACAAGGATATTCTGCTCGTTGTGGTATTTTATTGTGGCTTGGTCCATTGTGAAATTTACACTGAATCCTGCATCAGTAATTTTTGATACTGAGACTAAATTATTTCGCAAATCAGGTACATGCAAAGTATTCTCCAGGCGTATGCTTCGATCCTTTTTTCCGTCTGTTCCTAATAATTTAACGATGCCTTTACAAAGTATTTCAGTGGATGCACTGCTTGCTAAGTTAATCTTAGTTCCATCGGTTTTATCCATTTTTTCAAATTTCCTTTCGTCGTGACAAAGATGTGACGTACATCCAAACTTTCCATCGGTATCGTTGGTTTCTGGTTTACTGGTATTTGCTGTTTTGTTTAAATTTCCTGCATT